CAGGGAGGGGAGCATCACACACTGGGGTCAGTTGGGTGGGGGGTGCTAGGGGAGGGACAGCGGGGTGGGGAGGGATAACATGGGGAGAAATGCCAGATATCAATGACGGGAAATGGAGGCAGCAAACCACCTTGCCATGTATGTACCTAAGTAACAACCCTGCATGATCTTCACATGTACCCCAGAACCTAAAGTACAATTAAAAAAAAAAGATGAGGTCATCCTGGGGTAAGGTGGGATCTTATTCCAATATGTCTTCTTCTTCTAAGAAGAAAGGGGGAGACACAGAGATAGAGGCTCACAAGTGGAGAAGGAAATGTGATGATAAAGGAAGAAATTGTAGTGGCACTTTGACAAAAAAAAACACCAAGGATTTCTGGCAATACAAGAAGCTGAAAGAAACGCATGAAACAGTCGCCTTTAGAGAGAACACAGGACTGCCAACACCTTGATTTCAGACTTTCATCTTCTGTGAGAGAACAAATTTATGTTGTTTTTAGCCATCAAGGTTGTGGTAATCTGTTACTGCAGCCACAGAAAATAAATACACCCAGCCCACATTCTGGAATACTGCAAGAAGCCCTGCTCTGATCTGCAGTCTCTAGCTCTGTAGTAGAGGACTCTGTTCCCTAAACAGCTAAAGCAAGCGGAGTGAATGAAGGGGCACTGGGAGCCTTGAACACAGAGTTCCGATGACTGAATTTCCTATATGAAATTTATTCCTACGAAACCATCTGCAACAATTTAAGTGCTTAGTTCCAGCATGCATGCTTTCTAATCTAAGCCTTTTTGAAATACTGTTATAAGTTGTTTACAGCAGGAAACGGCCTCTGAGATGCTGAGATTTGCTGAGGACTTTTGGGGAGTGCCTGTTGGAACAATACCTATGAGTTACTACGGAAATAAAGTTGGGCAGAGAGGGAGGCTCAGCTGCAAGGGAATTGCAGCAGAGGTGACAGCTGATCCTAGAGGGAGCTCTGGAACTGGAATGGCCCTTTGGAGTCATTCCCAACTGAGGCAAAGTGGGTGGGATTTCTACAAGTTATAGATCTAAGTGTATGATCTAGCAACAGAGACTGTATTTTGTACCTGCACAGATCAGCTATTGGATGTAGGCTGCCGGTGGGGAGGAGCCATAGCATTGGGCAAGATGGGGTCCTTTAGTTACAAGTAATTCCTGGTTATAGAGACAGCAAGGGAAATGAGTGCTTGGGTCCTAAGGAGGGACCTCAAGGACGGACTGCAGCATCTACTACGTGTATGGATGGAAGTCTTTCTGCCTAATTATCATCTGTTATTAGAAAGTGGCAATAAGAGATTCCACACCTGGAATGGAATTACCTTACTTTGGGAAATCATCCATTGGGTGTTCCCAAGTCTTTTCTAGTGACAGGTCTGAGAGGTCTCAGCCCTGCATTCTTATGCTTTGCCTTCTTTCACCCACACATTTCCATCTCCACCCATTGTAACTACTCTTAAAATCTCAATTTTTAGAATAGCATCTGATCACATTTGGACCACAATATAATTTCTTCTCTTCTTCTACTTACCGAAGGACAGCAAGGATAATCATCTGACTGCTTGGAAATTGCCATTCATTCACTTGTTCACTTATTTACTCACTTGCCAGCCATCATACATTCTTTTTACTGCATTTTAGGTTTTAGGGTACATGTGAAGAACATGCAAGATTGTTGCATAGGTACACACATGGCAGTGTGATGTGCTGCCTTCCTCTCCATCACCTATATCTGGCATTTCTCCCCATGCTATCTCTCCCCAACTTACTAACTAAGCACTGAGTGTAAAAACTGAAAGAAGATATTGTAAAAGGCCTTACTCACCATGATGAAGAGTTAGATTTTATCGAGACACAGTGAAGATACTTAGAAGGATTATGGGCATACTGTGACTCGAATAGATTTGGGTATTAAAGGAGCCCTCACGGGTGGTAGAGAGGATGAACTGCAGGCAAGTCCCACAATACAAGGATGCAGCTTGCAGATAAAGAATTTAAAAACAAGTTGGGTAACTCTCCAAATCTCAGCTGAGTTAGTATCTTCTGTCCGTCTCTAAGATCCACTTCGCTGTCCAAGTTAGCAGTGTTGTAAGGAGCAGGTCAACAGCCTGCTTGGGTAGAGGGACTTACATCCTCCTTCTAAGCCACCAGTAGTCCCTGGGGCCCAGCCTCATGCCTTTGTGTATGCAAACACACCATGTATGTGACCTCAGGTCACAAACACTCAGTGTGAAGCCCACAGCTGTCCACACAGACTGGATGCCTCTGAAAAATGAGCCCCCAAAGGATGCATCATTCCATTATGGCTTTTCCCTTAACAGCCTCAAAAGCTTTGGGCCCGTCCCTAATAGGTAAAGTAAATCTCTCAGTGGGTGGGATTTCCATATTAAATACAAGTTATAGATCTACATGTATGACCTAGCAATAGAAACTGTATCCCAGAGAAACAAAAGCAGGATAATTTTTTTCTAATTAGCCAACTATAGACTGGATAATAGAAGAGAAAATATCATATTAATAATCATTATTTTAAGGTAATAGCTTATGTTCTTTAATGCAGTTCCAATATAAATGTCACTGTAAGAAATGATATTTCATTTCAATACTAACAAATCAGGTACTTAGTGAGCTGGGGCAAAAATGAGTGGAACTACTTTAAAGCTGCATTAACCAGAGAAACTGCAAAAATATTTATATTCTTATGAAGGAAGGAAAGAATGCCCCTCATGGGTGTATTTAAGTATCCTCCATCTTTTGAATAAATGGTAATGCTAAACAAAAAATGGAAAGATGACCTTAGAATAATAACCTCAAGACTCAACTGGGACTCAGCTTCCCAATGTACAAAAAGCATTTGCAATATGTTCAGATGGAAATTTCTATGCTGCTTTATAGCTCATAGGCTTCATTATATACCTCACGCAACCATCACCAAAACACCCAACTCCAGGCTGGCCTCCTTCCCATGGGTGGGCCCTCCCATATGTAAAATTACTCACCACCCCCTTGTTCACTGCCTGTGATTCTGCTCAGTTACTCAACGATGTTTGTAAGGACAGGCAAACAAAGAGAAGGAGAAAACCAATACATTCAGAGAGGTGTTTCATATAGAGAATGGGATTGTTAAACCAAATCCAGGTCTGGCACTGTTAGGGCTTTCTCTAGCCAGTTGTCCCTCCATTCTTCCTTCTAGCGACCCCATGAAAACTCCATTTGGAAAATTTCACAGGATAAATGCTGTGCCAATACGTGAAGGCAATCTATTGGGTGAGACCTTCCATTCTTTGTCCTCTCCAACAGCCTCTATGTACATTGCACAGAAGAGAGTTGGTGAGGGCCTGAACCTATGAGTTATTCAGTTTTCAAACAGTTCTGGAGGACTTTGAGTTTCCAGTTGATTTATTATGAATGACATTGGTACTTATGTGACTAGAAGCTGTTAGTTTGAATCGGTGCTTAGAGAAACAAACTCAATGAAAGTTACCAAGCCAATAAATCTCCGACGAGTTACATGGAGTTGTCTTTTAAACAAATGACAGGCCCCTTCCCATCAAGACACATACAAACAGAGAGACACAAACCTATTTCCGTAAGGCCTTAAAGTCACAATATTTCAAGCATATTTTTTTCTGGTCTTATAGGTTTTGAATGACAAGGGAGTGAACAGATTCCTGATTATATAACTTCCAAGTACATTCACATATGTGTTTTCTTTTAGTCCTTACAAAATCTTGTATAGTAGGATAAAAGGCGTTCTTATTAAAATCTGCATTTGATATATGAAAAACATAGGTTCCTAGAAGTACGTAGCTTTCAACCCTGCTTGTAAGTAAAAGAGTGAGATCTCTTGATGCCCAATCTCATGCTCATCCAATGATTTCGACTCTTCTTATTCTTCATTTACATTAATGGGGGTGAATAGGACTAATTCAGACTAAGAATTTATTAATCCAGTAACATAACAATTCTTTGAAACAAGTCTTTAGGCTACGTGGCTATTTGACAGACGTAATAATCAAAATGGGTGGTTTAGTAGCCTGGAATTTTAAAAAATCTTTGACCAGGTGGGAAGTTACATAATGTGCATCACCTGTCACTCCCTGTGCTCTCTTTGGTAACTAACGGAGTTCTACAAGCTCAGGACTGCATAGATGCCAAGTGCATCCTAGCTGTTCCAGGAGACTATCAAAGCCAACAGCGAGCTTCGTGCTGGTGAGGTCCAGGTATTCCTGGGGTTGAATGGAAATCACCAAGGAGCACTCTGTCAGCTTGCCTAAGAAATTTACAAGAGTCTATTACCTTGGCACTGTCAAAATGCCCCTTATTTATGTTCCTCTATGGAGGAGTGGGAAAAGCAGCCAGAACAGCCTGCTGTAGCAGCTATCCAGCTGCTCATGCAGTTAATATAGCTGTAGAAAGAACGTGATTTATACAAAAGCACTTTCTCTCAACACTAGCATATGAGTCCGAGACCCACTCATTCTGGGAGATCCACACCATGCACACACACTTTTGTGTGCTCTGGAAACCACAGGATAACAAAGAGAGCTACAGATTTAGATCGATGCAGAAGGCAGAAACACAACAGATATATGTACCAACAATATCTACAGCCTGACCTATGCCCTTATGATGTACATGGAATTAGTCCACTTGTTGCAGAAGGCAAGATTTTTATGCAAGTAACAGAGCCAGGCAGGCAGAGGTTCTATAAAAGTAGAGAGGCTCCCTGCTGCTTGCTGGCGAGGGGAGCTGATGGAGGAACCAAACTGGAAAGCATGCACGCATTGCTTCCAGGAGCAACACAGATGATCCTGCAGGTGAAAGCAATTGTCGAATCAGTTTTTCAAGGCAAGGGAGCAGGACCAGGCTCTACTTGGTGCCTTCTTCCCCTTTTAGGTGAGAAAGCAGGAATGCGCTATCTGTAATTTCTGTGTATTGTTGCCGGACAGAAAGCATGGTGTCCTGAAGCCTCACATACCTGATAGGGGCCCTGGTTACAGCCGCAGTAGCTGCTTTCCATGGTGTAGCTTCTGGACACCCCGATCTCTCTCCACACCACCACCCGGGCAGTGGAGGCTCGAGATTTCTCGATGAGAAAGCTGCAGCTGCTCATTGTGAATGCTGGTGCTAGTTTATCAAGGATTTTGGGAAGAGTCTACAATAAAAAAAAAATCAAACTATGATTAGTTGTGGGTGACTAGGGATAGTCATCATAAAAATAGCTTCTCAACATTGTTAAGCATCTATATATAAAATACTTAATATATGTTACTTTAAATCATTTATTAACCCCAAGAAATGGCTATCAATTTTTTAAAATCATTTTGCAGATGAGGAATCATGCTTACAAAAGTTAGAAATAGGCCAAGCATGGTGGCTCATGCCTGTAATCCCAGCACTTTGGGAGGTTGAAGGTGGTGGGTGGATCACCTGAGGTCAAGAGTTTGAGACCAGCCTGACCAACATGGTGAAAACCCATCTCTACTAAAAATACAAAAAATAGCTGGGTGTGGCAGTGGATGACTGTAATCCCAGCTACTCAGGCGGCTGAGGTAGGAGAATCGCTTGAACCCAGGAGACAGAGATTGCAATGTGCTGAGATTGCACCACTGCACTCCAGCGTGGGAGACAACGTGAGACTCCATCTCCCCCTCCCCACAAAAAAGAAAAGTTAGAAATAAATAGCTTAAGTCCAGAAAACTATAAAGTTGCTAGAGAGGGACCCAGATGCCAACGTGGCCACCTCCATAATCTTTCAATTCCACTTTTCTGCGTTGCTGTGGACCAAGGTTGCACACACACAGTTGGCCTCATACATGAATGAGTTGAGACTATGGAAAGCCTCAGATTTCACAGGGACTTGAAATTTACAGACTACATCCAGCCTCACTGTTACTTAGCAGGGTCAGACTAGGGACTGTAAACTTATTTCAGAAGGCCAGAGGGGCCAGTGATGATTCTGGAGAAGCAGCACAGATAGTTCACTTCTTTCCTAAGAATACATAATTGCCAAAATGAACTTTTTAGTCTCATCTTCCAAGACAAAAATCTGAGGCTTGATCAATTATGAAACTCCTGAAAACCCATTCTCTCTGGGTTCATATATTCTACCTTTTCTTGTGGTAAAAATGTTTTATTTTTGACCACTTAATCTCCCTTTAGAAGGCATCTCTAGACTCTCCACACCCTGATTGACAGAGAGGGAGCTTCCAGCCACTGGACCTCCTCCCCAGAGGACAATGACTCAGAGTTGATAGTACACACAGTCTTGAGTCAGCAGAAATACTGCACGCAGACAGTCCCAGAACTTCTGTGACATGAGCAAGAAGGGTGCTGTCATTTTAGTGTTGGCAGAATATGCATAAACTAACACATCATTTAAAATTATGTACATTAGACAATAGTGAAGTTTTAGCCTTTTAGACAAATTATGGGGGGAAAGAGAAGCATAACAAGTTAATGAGAATATAAATGAAAGAAGTTTTGTTAATTTCTGGAACATTGAGCAAATCTCTTAATGTCTCTTGTACTTACTGTCCTCATGTTAAATGTAACTGTTAATTATAATTATTAATTTTTGATAAATTATATGAATAAATTAACATAATTGTAATTTACTATGATCTGTAAATTCCTACATAGCCTCCAGACCCACAGATCATCTGAGAAGGGGAAATGGAACGCTAATGTTATCTGCAGTTGAGTGTCTACAATTGCCTCCTAACTGGTTTCATCCTATCCACTCTTGTCCCTCCCTTCCTATAATCCCTCAATCTATTTGTTCCTTCAAAGGGCTCATTACAATTACAATTAAATTATTGTGTATGTATTAGTTGTTTATTTTCTATCTTTCCAGAAGCCTAGAAGTTCCATGAGGGCAGGTCTGTGTCTTAGTCATGAAAGAATACCAACTCATTGAGCAGAATGTTACTCTTAGAATATACTCCATAATTATTCGTTAAAATAAATAGAAGCTGCTAGTCCACACCCCTGGGGAGCTGCTCAAATAGACATAAATGTATTGTTTCTCCTTCCTACAACTAAAGTGTTCAAGAATATTTGAAAATCGTTTTAACCTATCATTGGCTTACCATGTTGCAAAAGTTTACTCTTAACAGAGTTTAAGTGAATTTTCCTTTTTTACTTAAGTGAATGTATTTTTTTCTTTTGTAGGTTGTATCTCTTTAAAAAAAAAAAAAAAAGGCTTTATTTAAAGCAGTTTTAGGTCCACAGCAAAATTGAGAAGGAAGATGCACAGATTTTCCATACGCCCCCTGCTGCCGTACATGCATGGACGCCCCCATCGTGGGCATCCCTCCGCAGAGTGGTAGGTTTGTTGTAACCGCTGAACCTACACTGAAACATCACTCAAAGTCTATGGTTGACATTGAGGATTCTCTTCACTTTTGGTGTTGTACACCTTATGGGTTTGAAAAACTGTACAATGATGTCTACTCAATATTACAGTATTACCCAAAATAGTTTTACTGCCCTAAGAATCCCCCGTGCTCCACCTACTTATCCTTCTGTCCTTCCTTCCAAATTCCTGGGAACCCCGATCTTTTTAGTCTCCATAGTTTTGCTTTCTTCAGAATGTTATACCCCTGGAAATATAATATGCAGCCTTTTCAGGTTGTTTTCTGTAATTTAGTAATATCCATTTAAGGTTCTTCCACATCTCTTCGCGGCTTGACAGCTCATTCCTTTTCAGCACTGAAAAATGCTTTATTGTGTGTTTAGAACAAATATTGGGCTGTAGCTGTCTTTTCCCGTGATGTTCTCTTTTTGGCTTTGGTATCAGGGTAACACAGATCTCATAAAATGAGTTGGCAAGTGTTTCTCCTCTACTTTCTGAAAGAATGTTTTTTATAATTAGCGCTATTTTGTTCTTCAGAGTTTGAAGGAATGTATCAACCAAATGATCTGGGCCTAGACTTCCATTTGTGGGAAGAGTTTTCATTACCAATCCTTTTTCCACTTAAAATAAACCTCATCAGATTGTCTATGTCTTCTTGAGTTAGTTTTGGTAATCTCTGTCGTCCTAAGAATGTATTCATTTGTTGGTATATAGCTGTTAATGATATTCTTTTCTACTCTGTAAAATCTGTAGTGATGTCCTTTCTTTCAATCCTGATTTTGGTAATTTGTATCTTCTTTCTTTTCTTTGCCTGTCTAGCTGAAGGATGATCATTTTGTTGACCATTTCAAGAAACCAAACTATGAATTACTGAATGAAAAGCATGTTCTTTATGGATTCTCTGTTGTTCATATAATTTTGATTTCACTGAATTGCTTTGGCTTTTATTTTGTTCTTTCTTATATTTTGGAATTTATTTGTATTTCTTTTTCTTGTTTCTGAATGTGAATAATTAGATTGCTGATTTTAGATCTTTCAGCATTTCTAAATATTCTAAGTTACAAAGTTCGCTGTATGTACTACTTTTGCTGTGTACTAAAAATGTTGACATATTGAGTTTTTACTTTTATTCGGTTAGATATTTTCTCATTCCCTTTGGAATTCCACTTTGATCCATAAGTTAATTTGATAAAAATTGTTTAATTTCCAAATATTCAGTGATATCCCAGATTTCTTATGAAAATTGATTTATAATTTAATTCTGTTGTGTAGGTGAATATTCTGTGCATGGTTTCAGCCCCTTAAAATATATTGAGATTTATTTTATAGCCTATTATCGGGTCTATCCTGGAGAATTTTTGATGTGCACTCAAAAAGAACATATATAGTTTTGTTTTGAAATGAACTGTTATTTATATGAGTTAGGTGAGGTATTCTCTATACTAAATTTCTGTTTGGTTATTCTATCACTAACTGAGAGAGGATTACTAAAATATTCAAGTATTATTATTAAATTTTAAATGCCTCCTTTCCATTTTTTCTTCTTGTATTTCAGAGTATATATATTCACATACATTTATAATTGTTATGCCTTGCTAATTAACTATTTCTTTCAGTGTTATGAATTGCCCTCTCAGCCCTAGTAATATTTCTTCTTTTAGTGTTTAGTTTATGTCAATACAACCACTCCATCTTTATTAAGGTTATCATTTGCATGGTGTATCTTTTTCCATTTTTAACTTTCAACTTCTTTGCATTATCAAATTTATAGACAATATGTAATTGAACCTATTTTTTTTCCCATTTATTTATTTTATTGCATTTTAGGTTTTGGGGTACATGTGAAGAACATGCAAAATTGTTGCATAGGAACACAGGTGGCAGTGTGATTTACTGCCTTCCTCCCCATCACCTACATCTGGCATTTCTCCCCCTGCTATCCCTCCCC